CCACAAAATGACTCTCAGTATTGTGTCTGTGTTGTCAATAGTGAGCAGAACATTAAGACACTTCCTTAGAATATTAGTTTGTATCAGCTCTGAATTTGAACATTTCCGTAAATAAAATACAATAAACAGTAAATGCAGCGCGTTACACAATATCATAAATAGGGAACGTTTTTGTTCTCACTCTTGTTGTTTACATATTTCATTGCTTTTGACTGGACAGCACTGCAAATGTTTCCTAGCAACCGGTATTGCACATTAACTGAGTCATGAATCTTTATCCGAGGCCTCTCTTGAGTTGTAACACTGCAACCTGATTTAAGAAATCAATAGTTTGAAACAAGCTAGAAGCTGCTAAGAACTTAAAAATGGCTTTATAAATGAATTTAGCCAAAGATTTAGAACAGTTGGTGCATTCCGACCCGGAACGGCTACTGAGCTGCCGTTTGTGGCGAGATTGTTTCACCAACTAATCAATTTTATGAACTGTTTCTGTTTTCTTTGGAGTTTTATAAGGTCATCCCACTGGAGAAGGTTCATCATTAACTGTATGTTTATTGTGCGCATTCATCCTTCTGCTACTTTAATCTCATGTCGCTGTAAGACCTATTTAAAATAACATCAGACAGTCGTGTAGGCGTCTTGTGCTTCTTGTGGTCTCCGTTTGAGCATTAGACAAGATAATGCCCCTGCTTCTAAATCTATTTCTTCTCCCTCTTGTGATGTTTTCTTGAAGAAGCGCCAGGGCCAGTACATCCTGAAGACTCCTCAGTCCAGGGTGTCCTCTTCAGAGGTGTCTTGTCCCTCCCAGCCGCTGTCCATCATCAGCCTCAGCCCATCTCCCGCCTCCCAAGGACCCTCCCCCGTCCGTCCTGCACCCAGAAGCAAAAAAACACCCAAAAAGCAGCAGCCTAAAGACATCCCTGTCCAAATCTATTCTGCGCCACCACCTCCAACAACAGCCTTCCATGCTGCTTCTCCTCCTCCTCCTCCACCACCGCCGCCGCCGCCACCTCCTCCACCTCCCCCGCCACTGCCTCCTGCCATACCTCCTCCACCTGCTCCCTCCGAAGACAAACCGATGCCTCTCAGTGAGAAAGAGGACCCTCCTTTTCCAGCCAAGAACATGCTCACACAAAATATAGGTGAGACCGAAACACACGTGGCGTAATTCCACTTTATACGTGTCTGCATACAAGAAAAAACACAAATGGAGCAGAACATGTGAATTCATCTGTCTGCAGGGAAGTATTGTGTTTGTTTGTTCCACAGAAAAGTGTGTTTAGAGACAGAGTGTGTGTGTGTGTTTGTGTGCCCGCACATGGTGTTCTGTCCTAAATTCCCAACTTCTCCCACGAGGCCAGAGGAGGCATTTTACCTCAGTTGTGGTCCTGCTGATGTACACTCTCAGCTCCGGGGAGACAGTAACGTCCAACACTGCTTCATTTTTATGAGCATATGTGAAATGGAGGTCATTCAAAGGAAGCTGTTTTTAGCAACGTTTTGGTGCACCAGGAAGAACGTGGGGAACGCTCCATGCAGTTTGTGAAATTTTTAGACCCTTTATCAGCAGAGAAAGTAGTGCTATAAAAAACAATGTGTTTTACATGCAGTCCTGCTTCTTGTTTCATATTAAAGTGTAATCACTTCATTGTGTTGTTGCTGTAGGAACAATGGATGAAGTGTTGGCATCACTGCAGCGTGGACAAATTAAGCTTCGAAAGGTCCCGGCGGCCAGGACTGCAGCCCCCGCTGTGGACGCAAGGAGCAGCCTGATGTCGGCCATCCGACAGGGAGTCACCCTGAAGAAGGTGAGCTCTAAATATACTGACCAGTGTTAGCTTATTGCCGATATATTGCATCAGTGGAAGTATTAGTGGATAACTAACAAGAACAAGAAGTTGCCGGACAAAAAATAAACCAAACTGGGTAATTTAGAAACAGTAGGACCATTACATAGTTTATCCAAGCGAAAGTTGATTTTTCAACCATAAAATATCCTGCTCAGTGTGCACCTGGCCAAAACTCCTTTTTAGAAAAAAAATTAAAAAATAAATAAAAATCAGTGTTTGGCTACGGTAAAGTAATAATCCACATCTGAAAACTGTCCCCAACAAATGTACCATTTACTCCTTTTTGAGTAATGTTAGTAAAAACTACAGAGATCAGCGGGGGGTTTTTTTGTTGTTTTTTTTAAGAAAAGGATGGAACCTCTGTTAAATATGAAAGTATATATTTGTGACCTATTTTAAAGATTTCCATCTTCACCAGGGAGCAGTGGCCTTGGGGCTCTGAACCACGCACTGTAGATGTTCTAGACGTCTGAAAGTGTTGACAGACAGATCAGTGCTTTGTATGTTTTGGTCTTTTCATCGGATTTGTTGATGGCAACAGGAAAATAAACTGTGGCCTGCCTTTTTCTTTTCATACAAGGAGAGATTGATTTTACTGTTCGTGGTTTGTGTGATTTATAGGATTTCATAATTACAAGTGAAGCCAAATTCAGTTTGAAAAACGTGTGAGACAAACGTTCAGTGGGTTAGACTAGGTTCACTGATATGTGAAAGTATCCGGTTTCATCAGCTGAAGTTCTTCTCTGTACGTAAACTGTGTATGCTTGTAAGTTGAATTAGGTTCTATTTCTAAAAAGACATGTGACAATAGGTTGTATCGCATGATCATACCTGAAAACATCTGCAAGCTTGGTATCCTGAGGGAATTATTCGTATCTGACATGGTTGCTCACTTAATAGCAATTATGGCAAATTAGAAACATATTATCTGACAATGTGACAGGGAGCCAACACGCACAATACCAGGAAAATACACAGTTCATCCAGCATTCATTCATTACTTACACTAGCGCCTTTGTTGCATTCACATCCTAATGGAGTAATTGCCAGTTTTCCACCTGTAAATTGCTTTATTGTCAACATCCAAGTAGTAATTAAGAATGGGTATGTTAGATTTTTCTAAAAGCTTTAAATATCTGAGCGGGCAAAAGCAAACAAACACGGACTTCTCATGTTCTCAGTCAAACACCACTGTTAATTAAACACTGATATTTAATAGATGTAGTGCAACATGGAAGACAAAATGTTTTAACCCTCATGCATCCAACGCTGCAGTAAAACAAGCGTCACTCGGTTTTATGACATTTTCTTTAAATGACTCTCCTGTATGGTAGACACTGATGGTGTTTTTGGCAGTTTACTCTCTCGGTTGTTTGGTGAGGAAATGCATCATTTTCTCTCTCTATTTTGTTTTGTTTGTGTCCTCCGTCCAGTAAAAATGACACTTTTCTTATTTGTCTGTTTGTGTTTTTATATGCTGAAAGAGCAAAACAAGCAGTCAATGGCATGGCTGAGCATTAGCATCCTGTTACTGCAGCATGACAAAGACAGTCTCAAAAACATAGATTTCAGACTTGTGGAGTTTCAGACATTAAAAACCTAAAGAGCCAGTCTTGTATTTGCAGGATGGTGCTTTGTATCACTTATTCTTCTTCAAAATCGGTTTCCAGTGTGAACATGCATGGCTGAATCCAACATTACATCTTGCCATTCTGTATAGTATTTTTAGTATTTTTAAGCAAAATCAGAGGCGAGCTGGTGTGCTCAAGCTGCAGCAAGCAGGGAAGAGTAAGTGAAGATAGAGGCGAGGACTTCACAGATCTGCACATCTAGTTGATGCCAAACTGTAGAGTTACATTTTAAGTTATTTTAAGGCGGAAAGAAATTGATTTCATGGCAAAAAACAACAAAATATGTAGTTTTGATACACAGGAATGAGTCTTCAGATGACCAGCGAGGGATTTAAAAACAGCTGGAATCTCCAGTAATGAGTTAAAAGCAGCCACACGAGAAGACTGGCAGCTGCCATCACAAGTTATAATCATATTTTCCCTCTTGCATGATGTGAGTGCAGCATTTCCCGACAGCGACATGAACATGCAGAGCTTTTAATTTTATTACATTTGATCACAGATCAGAGTTTGAGGTGACTCCGTACATAGCGCCATATAGCTGAAGCTGCACTACAAAGTGTTGCCCTTACAGACAGCAGCAAACACAGGTACATAAATAATAACATTAGTAATGACTGAAATCCATTTAGTTGTTCCAGTGGCAGGTTCCTGTATGATGCATACTGGCTCAGTGGCATGGCTTAATGGAACACCTACATGGATCAAAGCTGATGCTAATGTTGTTAGTTACGCTGCTCTCTCAAATGTCTCCTCGGGAAAGAAAAAAAAAAACAACAACAAAAAAACGATGTGTTGATTTTCCTACTGAATACACATTTAACAGCAGGAGGTGACGGAGGAGCCTGAATGGGATTAAATTGACTCTCGTCGTTCTGTAGGTGGTTCCTGCACGAGCAGAAGTCCCGAACAGCGGCGACAACGAGCTGGAGCGCAGCATCAAGGCTGCCATGATGAGGATGAAGAAGGTGTCAGCCGACTCGGACGACGAGGACGACAAAGGTGAAGACGAGATGCAGAGTGCAGACTGGGACAGCTGAGAGCGAACACGTCCATGAAGCTGTTCTCCCACATTAGCCCTATTCTGTTTTCTTCACGGTCGTGATCTACAGCTTATGCTGCTGCCAAATTTTCACCGAAAAGCTGCTTCTTTGACAGGATTACGCCTCTTCTGACTTAAACACTGCAGTTTGCTGAAGTTGTAGCACAGTAATCTTATTGGTGTTTTCAAAGTAGCCCTGAGACGCTGTAATTCATCCAAAACTGCTCCAGGCCAACTAACCAGTGAGTGGAAGAATCAGGATGTAGCCCCCTCTGAAGCAATTTTTGGTTTGCAGAAATCCCAAACCGGAGTGAATGAGGCGCTGCCTTTTAAAAAGCAAAGCCAAGCGGTAGTACTGTAGTACAGTGTGTAAATGATTGAATTTCTTCCCAACTCTGTGTCTGGAGGCCTTTTGTGAGACCGTCACACAGCGGGGGAAGCCGATGCTGCGAGCAGAAGTGACGATGCCACACAAATTCTCATTTTGCTCACATTGCTGAGTCTCAACTCATTCTGAATGTAATTCACCCTGAACAGTTGTTTAATTTACCCCAACAAGCACTACAGCAAACTGAGTTTTGTAGGGTTTTTTTGCATTTTATTACTTAACAAAAAGAGAAGTTATGTTGTGAAGAGCAGCAGTGTTAATTATTTACAGCCTTCACATCTAAAGTCTTGTCTTCACCGTGTCCCTGTTTTTTTCCTTTTTTGTGTCAGAAATGTGTGAATGTGTTACACTTAATTTGGATGCAATTTATAAAACGATCTGTTAATTCTTCCTCTATGATGCCATAACAAAGGAGGTGACAAATTATGAATGTTAGATTCATTTTTAGTAAATAAATGCTTCCATTTAGTTATGGAAATACTATACTAATTGCAGCGCTCTGTCTCTAGTCATTGGCAAATCCTCAGAGAAGCTCGGTGACAGGTTATTGTTGATGTTTAGGCCAAACTTAGAATTTAAGACCGTTAAACCTGTGACTCAGAGCGTTTCATTTACCTGAACCTCTCAAAAAGACAAGACTGGAATGTATTAAGCACAAAAAAACCCTTTAAAGCAATAAGTGGTTTGCGCAGTACATTCATTTCCAGCACGTTAAAGCTGAACTGTGAGGTGATGATGGCTCAAACACTCAAGTACTGCTGTGTTTTAATAATAAATGAAGACATATCAGGTCATCAACTTGAAACGCTGGCCTTTTTTTCCCCCCTTTTAATTCAAAATTTATCACTCTGAGATCGTAACCATTTGCTGTTCCCTGATGCCCACAGGTATAGCTGCGCTCGACTGTAAATGAAACTCGTGTTCTTTAAACAAGTCACATCATCTTCCGCAGAGGTGTTTTACCAAACCTGCGCCGGTGAACCCCGGTGAGTGTGCTTAGGCGGATTTGTAGCCCACGATGATGACTCATATTGTAATATCTGTGTTGGCAGCAGTCGCTCTCACGTATCTTCTCCTGCAGTGACAGCACAGACATCCCCCAGCCAGCTGTGATTGAGTTTATTCAGGCTCTGTGTACTTTAGAGAGCAGCTGCTAGCAGAGGTGGCGATGGCCGCTCTTGAGCATCATCCTTGTTTTTGCCGGGCTGCAGTCGCTCTGCTGTGTAATTTGCTGGCAACGTCCAGGTGATTCAGGTGGAAGACGGGTCGTGCACCTTTGAGAGGTGGAGGAGGAGGAGGGGGGGAGGTGGAAGACACGCGTGGCGGGTGTTTGGACGAAAACCCGTCGATCGAGCATCAACGCGAAATTCCGCAGCCTGTTACTATGGCAACAGGAAGTCTCAGTGGTAGTGGCCTGCAGTGCCATCTCTCTCTCTCTCTCTCTCTCTGTCTCATGTACAGAGCAGCATAGTCTCTTAATGATGTTTCACCAACTCGCCCACTCATCACCAGTCACACAATGAGGCTTGCTGAGAGAGTCAGAGACAGCGAGGAACCGCAGAGGAGAGGGGACACAGAGAGAGAAATGCTGCTTTCGCTGCATCCCAACTGTATGGAATTGGGAGTGTGATTGATCATTGGTGTGATACAAATGAGGATTATTTTAGCTGCGGCTTAGTGTTTCTCCTGTTTAAGTCAGAAAAAAGTGACAAGCTCTAAACTCTGACATGAGTTTCTGTTTCATCAAAACAACAGTCAACCCCCCCAAAAGATACGAAGGAGGGCTGATTCTTCTTTCATCAATTAATCTAGATGGTTTGGTCAATAAAATGTCAAAGTAGTGGAAATGTTGACCACAGTATGGATTGCATTGGGATTGATATTTGATATGATGCAAGTGAGGATTATTTTAACTGTGGCCCAATGTTCCACCTGTTGGTTAAAGTGTCGAGATCCAGACCCCGTCACATATCCCCAAAAGGTATCCAGTAGGGCTGATTCTTTTTGTGTTCAATTAATCTTGATGGTTTGGTCAGAAAATGTCACAAAATCATCTAAATGTTGGCCACAGTTTCCCAGAACCCTGCTTCTGTTGTATCTTAACTGTAAGGATTGGAGTGTGATTGATTGTTGTTATGATGCAAGTGGGGATTATTTTAGCTGTGGCTTAATGTTTTACCTGTTTCATTTTTCTAATAAAGACAAAAATGGAAGAAAAATACATAAAAGATACTAAAAGTCTTCAGTCACGATAGCAGCTCTGTGAGGCTGTACAGCTTTAAATGTTAAAGTCAGCATGACAGCATATCCACAGTGATTATGTTGAACATGATGGTGTTAAGTGGACCTATTTACAATGTTAACTATCATAGTTAAATGTGTTTTCATGTTAAAATGTCCTTTTTAGCACGAAACACAAACCTGCAGTTAATGCGTGTGTTATTACTTTTGCAGGTGTCAATAAAACAAAGTGTAGTAGACAAAATTCTAACCAGCTCGAGGCACCAGATGAAAAGTCAGACAGTGTCCAAAGCGAGGCAGATTCATCCTGGAGATGAATCAAAAATGTCAAAGCAATCCATCTAACAGATATGTTACTCTGGCAAACAGGACCGTCCCTCGACCCTTGCTGCTAGCATGGCTACCAGTCCTGAAGGTGACCAGATCTAGACTTTGACATTATTGTTTTTGTTTTGTCAAAACAATAGTTAAAAATCCCCAAAAGTTATCCAGTAGGCCTGATTCTTTTTGCCATCAGTTAATCTTGACGAATAAAATGTCATAAAATAGTGAAAATGATGACCACAGTTTCCCAGCACCCCCATTGACATTTTCACATTTCATGCAAAAGAAGCCATTTCAAACTAAGACAGATGCTGGACTTTGTCATGAATAGATAGTGAAAATAATAGTTGCAGTTAATTTCCCATCAACTGACTTAATTGGTCAGTTAACAATCATTTCAGCACTAAATTGATGCTTATTGCACATTGATTGAATTTTCCATCCAGATGTGCTGCTCATCTCTGAAAAAGAAAATTAAAGACTCTAAGGAGGGATACCAATTTCCAAGAGTCTCACTGGCTGAGAAAGATGACCAACTCTTTAGTGTGATTACTAAATGAAACGTTGGAAAGTAGTGCTGGATTTACATTCAATTACTTCTCATAGTCCATCATTCAGTTATTTCTAAAAAAAAAAAAAGGAGTGAGTGGGATTAAGTTGCCAAGGCAACATGTCCTCTGATCCACTACTGCAGTGCTGTGAGGACGTTTGAGTTTAAGGTGTTTTTCCATCAAACGAGCTCATATGTTCGTTTGCTTTATGCTTTCTGATCTCAGAAATTGATACAAGTTGGTGACTGCGATTAAATCCCACCTCATTGGCTTTTCTTGTGCGTGTCTCTGGTAGGATTACAGCTATATTTAGTGCTATGTAAATCAACATCAGAGCAAAAGACGTGCGGTGGCGGAGCTTCTGTACTCGAGCCTCGGCGGGACTCGGCTCCAGCGCTGTAGGTTCATTCCACCTCCTTCTCTGAGCTTCTCATCCAGGAAAAAAAAAGAAGAAGAAGAAAGAAAAAAAAAAAATGCCTCAAGACTTTCATAATGTCATGCAGCATATTTGTAAGCTTTAACTAGTTTTCCACACAGAACCCACAATGCTGATATGTGACTAAGCGGGGCTTAGGGAAACCTCATGTCTCCTCTCTGAGGAGCTCCTGCCAAAACGTGGCCCACTTCTTAAATTCATGAAAAACAAAACACAGTAAATCAGCATTGTAATTAAACTAAATTTTACCAATTGTCGGTTCTATTGTACAATATTGAACAGGAATCACAGAAGTGCACAAGAGGCATTGGTTCAAAAGGAAGGATCAAATGTTCTGTTATCCAGATTCAGGTGAGTTACGAACAAAAGGGCAAAACATAGAGAACAATAAGCAAAAAATCCCTTCATTAGATATCTCAATCTTATGACAAGATCAAAACAGTGATGAAAAATATAGACTTATAACGTCATAGTATTACAGAGTAAATATGTCACTACAACATGTGCCTTTGATCTCAAATGTACCAAGTCTCAAGACGGGTTTCCCGAAAGCAGCTGTGACACCATCCTGCAAACAAATCCTCTGTTATAAAACCTCTCAATCCTGACAGTTTGGTATTTTTTATATATTATCATACATCTGTGGAAACATTAGGTTAAGGTGGAGTTACTTGGTATGTTCTAGAAACACTAGTTGCAGAGAGGCACCAAAAATAAATACATGTGTAAAACAAAACCAAAAAATCTGACAGGGTTTTAGTGAAAAGGCCCATGCCACCTAAATGTTTTCAGTGAAGTACACTTTCACATTATTCACCCATAGAGCAGCACCAAGTCCCCTCACCCAAAAATAACCACCACCATAACAAAAACTAGTGTGTAGGAAGCACATCAACAGCCTTGGAGACATACATCTTTGTTGTACAAACGAACAACAGTACTATTGCACACACACAGTCCTTTAAACACTACACTCATGGCAAGATGGGGTTCCTATTATTATTTTGGATGTTTGTGAAGGAAAGCTCCTGAGACACCAAGAGTTTTTTCTTCTTTATGCAAATATAATCAAAAGGACTGTTTACTGAAACCGCCCACAAGAGAGTTGACAAATTCCTGCTGCAGTCCCTTCTAAGAGTCATTTCTATGCAAACACCTGTTTTGTCCTTTGAGTTTTTCGCCACATTAACATCCTCGGGTTGGACAAGCCTGTCTGTGTTTTCTTTTCATTTCATTTTTTTAGTAAAGATATTTATTTATCCACTGGTTTTCTCACAAAAATCAAGTTGTTATTATGGTGATGGTCATCACTTGGCCAGTTCTCCTTGCCAGGTAGATTTAGACTCACCTGGAGGCACTTTGTGTCACGGCCATTTGTCATTTATGTGCATATAATCTAATGAGTACAAACTGTCTCCTAACACACCTGAGTTAGACAAGAGGCAACAGCGACGACAGTCTGTAGAAAGATTTCATCTCTAATTCTCTGAGGGGGCCACAAGGATTAACACCAATTATTACTTGAATGATGCTGAGCAGCATTGTCTTTGTGTGTTGTTCATTTTAGCCCTTTTAAGTCCCCTCCACCACTCTAAGCCCAGACTGCCCGTGTAGAAGTGCTGCAGCCTTTAGAAAAAAAAGACAGATGGACAGAATCTAAGAACCCACCACCAGCTTTTTAAAGCCGTTTTCCCCCACAGAAACGGTTAAGTAAGCTCAAAGTGTGACTCTTGATTTAGTTTCACAATGCCAGCACACAAAACAGAGCCATTTGGTGGAGCCCGCTGGCCTTCCTCCTCTTTGTCTGCCAGTCTCTCTCACTCTCTCTCTCCCTCTCCAACACATCTCTTTTTCACAAGGTAGTGTTTATTAGAAGCCAAAGCTGATAGTTTCTGAGTGGACGTCACCTTGGGGGAGTAGGTGCCACATAGTTCCTGCCCTGAAGACATACTGTAGTGAATCCTTCGTACCTGACCTCTGACCCTTTCAGCTCAGTGCTACTTTTCTCAGTTATCAACACCTAGCTTGGAGAGCCCCTGCCTGAACTCATGCAGCTCGTCTATCTTTCCATCCAGAATATCCATGAACTTCTTCAGCTCGCCCTTCATGTTTCCCTGCTTTTGTTGGCTGTCGTCTATGTCCAGCTGAAGACCCTCTATTCTGCCCTCCAGTTCCTTGTTCTTCGTCTCAGCAGCCTGTGGACAGATAGAAAACAAAACTTACATAACAGCAAAGAAGTCAAACGTCAGCTGTACAGGGAAATCAAATTAATATCTTAAGAGGGATTTATCAGAACAGGTGTGCATTTCGTCTACGCAGAGTTACTGAACCAAAGAAAGAGCTTCTTTTGGAAAAAAAAAAAGATCAAAGCCCTTCAAGTGGCCTTGCAGTGTTCAATTCAATATTTGCAGGTACAAATAAAAAAAAAAAAAAAAAGGAAAGGATGCATTTGTACTGACTTCTGAGAAACGTCAGCCAAAATACAGCAAGAAACACAAGTTTTTTATTGTATCAGAAAACCAAGCCTCTACATTCAGGAGAAACATATTTTTGTTTATATGTGGATGGCAGGATAAATAAGTCTTTCAGACTAGCAGGCGACACGAGTGACACATTAATGCCAAAGATACCATTGAAGGGAGGGGTTTAAAATAGGAGTGCTAAATGGGTGTTGCGCCTGCATGACTGTGTCGTCCAGCTGACTCCTGAAACCTGATCTCCACATGGGGTGTCGTCTTTAAATAGAGGGGAGCTGTGACCACAAACACAGAGGTGGAGTAGGTAGGCTTATAAAATAAAAAATGAAAAAATGTTGAAAAACTGGCTCCGTTTTTAGTGTTACGTCTCATGGCTTTACAAAGGTATTTGAAAAATCCCATTGTCTGTGGTTCTACTAGGTTTGGATAGACTGTTAGATAAACTGCTTCAGCCATTTCTGTTGTCACTGACATTCATCCAGCTGGCTGTTGCAGAAACAAACCAGGCAGTGGAGCTTTGTGAAGCACAAGAACTTCAGGCATGCCACTGTTGGTTTTATTCTCTTCCATGCCCAGGCTGAACGGCAGCACATGCATGACAGCTTGGATGAAAAAAAAATCCTGCTCTGAGTCAGGCGGTACAGGCTGAAACGAGCGTCAATATCAAATCAACTCATGTCAGACTTGGCACTAACAGGACACACAGTCATTCACAGAGCCTGGCACTTCTGGTTTTACAGAAAGTCTGACATTACCCAATGAGTAACCAGCTTTGAAGAACAGGTGCTCTTTGTTACCAAGAAGACGTGAGGTGAATCTAAACTGTTCCAGGGTTTCTCACCGCCAACTTAATCTCACAGGAACAACCCACACACCTACAGAATTGTTATAATACCCGGTCATTAAAGCTCTGAAACAACTGCAGCCGTTTTGTTGTGCAAAACAGATCAAATCTGCGCCACCAGGAAACTAATAAAGCCTGACGGAGATGTATCTTTGTGTCACAGATGAAGAAGAGACAAACCTTTTCAAAGAGCAACGGTCCACTCAGCGTTGCACTGGGGACGGACCTTTATTATTAGATACAGTACCTACAATGTGCGTTAGTGAGACACGTGATAGGAATGTTGTGTCACCAGCCCTCTGGCAGAATGATGAATAGAGACTCTTATTCTCTGCCTCCGTCTAAAAGCACTGCGTGTCAACTCACTGTGTGGCAGCCGTCGGGTCCTCACGTGTGTTCAAGGTCTATAAAGCTGTGCATTTATACTCTGCAGTAAATCACACCTGACAGAAAATGTGGGGTTCGTGGAGTGTCTGCGTGCTTTGAACATACCTGTAGTTTTGCGGTGATGGTCTCGCACTCCGCCATGAGCTGAGGGATTATCTCTGCCTGCTTCCTCAGGTTCTCCAGCTCCTGAAAACAAAGGAAAGTTTAGAAACCAACCGATCAAGAGTTAAGAAATTAAATCAGGGTGACTGTTTCTATGTTGTTTTCTACACAACATTAAAGATCATTTAACTAAATACCTTAGAGCACTTGAGAGTGAGATGAGAAGATTGATTTTGCATAAATAAAACAAAAAATTGACAAAATTATTATTAATGTCAGTACTCAACGGTTTTGGGCACTTGACAAACAGTCACTGTTAACTAAGATGCACTGTCCACTATAAATAAGCAAACTATGGACAAAGATGGAAGCACTACGAAGCAGGAAAAGAAAGGAAAAAAGAAAAACAAAGCAAAACATTCAGGACTATAATGAATGCTGCCTTAATTCTGCTTTTCTGCCTTGTGCTTACATGTTTGTTTTCTTCTCAGTTAAAGACCTATTTTCACCCTAAAAATCACACCCCTCCACTGCTAAGCCAAACGCATCACATACAGTTTCATATCATCCGCTGTTGCTGTGAGCACTTCCACGGCAAGTAATAATTGGTCGAGTCTTTGTCGTCACCTGCAGCAGCTTTGTTCTGTTAGTTCACGGCTGGCCGGCGCAGGGGTCAACACCACAGCGAGTGCTTAATAATTCATAGGCACGTTTTTAATTGGAGGAGGTGAGGATGTGCATTTCTAGAAGGAGGTGAGTCACTCGGTAGATGAGCCTCTGTGGGCTGTCTGCTGCATCAGTGCTCTGCAAGACTTCTTCTGCAGGCCCCTCGGTCAGTGTTCGGAGCGTTAAGAGCGGAAATTCTGGAGCTCTCCAAGGACGTGATTCTTTGCTTACAATCTTTCAAAATCAGCTCCAGCTCTTTGAACTACTTTTTTTCCTGTATGAGATATACCGCTGTCTAGGAAAGATGTATATGTTCTATTAATACTCAAGCTGCCAGGTGGTGAACTAGAATATCCCAGACAGTGTTTACTGCAGGCAATCTGAATAGGTCTTCACACAGCAGAGCTTCAAATGTCACTATTTTTGCAACACTGCAATAACATAAAGCACCATTAAACTCAATTTAAACAATTAATTGATGAGACAGAATTAACAGAAAATTGTTTAAGTAATTTTTAAAGCAAAAATATTAAATATTTGCCTGTTCTCGCTTCTGAAATGTTCTAAAATTGGCGACCAGTATTGAGACAATCCTTCATTATTTTCAAACGTGTAAAAATGTATGACGTAAATTTAATGGTCTCATGTTGTCAAATGTGAGAATTTGTGGCTTTTCCTTGTCTCATATCATAGTGAATTTGTAATAGCAATAATGTGATTTTCACTATTTAATGGTGTTTTATATACAATATTATTTAATCAAGAAAGTTTTGTGTAGATACACAAGTAATCAGAAATAATCATTGAAAAACCCTAGGAAACATCTCCATGGGACATAGAGAAGCTGTGAGTGACACTTTTTTATTTGATAGACTCAAAAATGGAAAGAGCAGACTAGCTGTTAAAAGGAAAATATAAAGCTTCATTTTTATTATTATTTTTAAAGATATTTTTTGGCTTTATTAGATAGGACAGAGAGACAGACAGGAAAGTGGGGGGAGAAGAATGGGGGAAAGACCTGCAGCAAAGGGTCATGAGCGGGACTCGAACCCATGACCGCTGCATCAGGGACTATAGGCCCTATACATGGGACGCCAGCTCTACCAGGTGAGCTGTAGCGGCGCCCCATATGGTTCAATTTGATGCAGTGTCCTGCTCCAAAACCTTAGATGATGGAGCTTTGCTGGTGGGTTAAATCTATTGGTCTCTTTCCTATTGAACATCTAAAAAATGACTATAAAGACTTGGTCAGATATACAGTACACTACAGATTTCCAAACCACTGCAAATAGAAGACACAGAAATATATACAGATTTATCTGCTCTTTCATGCTCGTGGAAACTGAATCTGCTTTGATACATTGGCTGATTGTGTCTCCCTTTTATGACGTTGACGAGAAAACCACAGTCAGTGTAGAAAAGGATATGAGACTCTGCCAGAAGTCAGTCCTAATCATTTGTCTGCCGCCAGAATTAGCATTTAACCAGCAATGAGCGAAGGTCAAAAGACTACGTGGTCGCGCAGGGTTTATCCTCATTAGAAGCAGCAGCTTCATTAAGCGGCGCTGAGCTGACAGACAGCTAGTTTGCATTATGGATGATTGATGTAATAGACATAAATTGATGCTGTTGATTGTATTTTCTGCTGCATGACTAGAGACAAGTTGGCGGAGTTCAACAGTACCACAACGGGACAAACATTAAGAAAGTTACTGAAACATTTGAAGCACAGAAAGTTATATAAGAGCAACTTGAGACAAAGGTGCAGTACAAAGGTGTGGGTTTAACTGGGTAGGCAAAAATAACAACACCAATCTGTACAACACCCAAGATCCCACAACAAAAGCTATCATTCCTACTAATCACTTCCTGGGGGAAAGAAGTGCTACTGGAACTTCAGGGGTGATGGGGCGGAGAGCTAACCTGCACACTGTAATTTCATTGATGAAGTGGAGCCAGTGAATCGCCGGAGTTCAAGGTAACATACAAGTTCCATTTCTAAAATTGTTTTTGTACAAACTCTTACAGACAGCCCAGCTCTGGAGACGGACCCTGTTGTTTCGAGACAAACGTGAATCAAGTCTCACCTGCTCTTTGTCCTGCAGCTCAGCCTCCAACTCCTTCACTCGAACTGTCAGTTGGGCGTTTTTCTGCTTCTCCTGATTGGCTTCATTACACTGGGCTTCTAGTTCTGCAATCTGAACGCAGAATGAAAAAGGAAGCTGCTTTTTGAGAAATGTCAAGTCGTTACTGTGAAAAGTGGTCAGCGTGACAACAGATTTTACAGCATAGTCTAATTTTGTTTGACGCCTGGTAATGCGTGTTTGTGGAATCATGGGTACACTTTCTATTGTAAGTGGTGTCATCTTGGAAATTGAAACTAGCAATAACAATAACAAAAAAAAATCTGCAGCATGTTACAAAATAAAGAGTATCGTTGCAACACCAGCCCAGCTGCAGAAACAGCCCACATTGATTATGAAACTAAAATGATTCTATTTATAGTGGACTGAGACTCTGGTGCAGGAACACAGAAGATAATGAAAAGTACAGAACTCTGCTTGCTCAAAATTTGGCGAGGGATTCACTCATCCCACTGCACAGACTTCACCTAAGTCGTACAGAGAATCTAATCATTTTGTAGCAGTTAGTGAAACAGTTTTCTTTCCCTTTTATAAAAGCTGCGGCAGTGTTTCTGACCTGTCACATTTTTTTCTGCTGACAGGATCGATGGGTTTGTGTACATTATTTAACTTCCCTGTAGGAGTGCATGACTGTATTACCTTTTCCCTGAGCGTGTCACTCTCTTCCTTGCAGGCACTAAGCTGTTTCTTCCAGCTCTCTACATTAGCTGAAGACTCCTGCAGTGAGTCCACCAGCCTGGCATTACTTTCTCTTAAAGTCTGAAGCTCTGTTTCCCACTTCTTGGCGTTGGTGTTACTGCAAGACAAGTGAGACGGAGAGAGATCCAGGAGGAGAGTTACTTATGCAAGTAAAAATTTAGGGAGGTCAGTGCTGAAACGCCTGGGGATTCTGCCCTCTGACATGACACATAATGCTACAAAATCCTTCCAGTCATGACTATTTAATTAGCTGTGATGTACATCACACTGTCAAAAGATATATTTAGACGAGAGAAAAAAAGGAGTGGGAAAAGTCTCAAAGGTCTAATGAGCTGCAGCCGTGATGCATACCAGCATAGTTTGTTATCCTTTCATGCCACAGTGTGTGTGTGTGTGTGTGTGTGTGTGTGTGTTTCTGTCTTATCAATAAGGTTGGAGAGGTTGTGATGTATATTTAGTATGCATCACTGTTCCCTTCCTTATGCATGGCTGGGTTGAAGTGTTCTGCTCTCCATCAAATGTGGACAGACTTGCACTGCAGCATTCTGCAGTCCTCGGCTGTTTCACTGCTGTGACACTTTTTCACAAAACAAAATCCAAAAGCATGTGAAGACATGAGAAAGAATCAGTGAAGATAGCAAACAATGACGGACCAAACTGTGTTTTACAGCCAGAAGCTGGAGAAGTTTGGCAACACATGGAAGCTTGATGCACTGATATGAAAACAATGTCAATGACTTTGGAATCAGTGTTTTATTAAACACTGTGATAAATCACTGTGAAAGTTTAGAATTTCCTAAAATATTTTGTGAAAATAAATTTCCAATTTGATCCCAAATTTAACACAGAGACAGTTGCTTCGGTTCAATTCTTTATTGAGAGGAATCTCAGTATGTGAACTGGTCAGTATAGCCAACGGAAATATTGTTTATGTGAAGAAGGATGCAGCACTTAAGTTCGACATTTGTGTAGCATAGATTTTTTACATAGGTGACAGATCAGAAATGCTAAAATCTTTTCAGAGCTTAACAAGAAAAGAATTATATTTAATTTTATAAAAATTATGTGTACATTTATTTTTCCATATTTTCACCTGAAAGCCTATGCCAAAGTACCCCTACATTCTATAGTAGATAAATCTACTTTCAATGAAATATTAGACACAGGAAAAGATTTAAAAAAGCATCTTAAACAATAGAGAATAGAAGTTATTTTAATTCATTGTTCGCCAACATTCACTGAACTGTTTGGGAACCTTCTTAAGATTATAAAAATAAACTGTCCGTCAGTTCCTTTCTAGGGAAAAGACTAAAAACTACTGAGTCTGTAAAATAAAGCGTTACCTCTCATGCAGATGTTCATTTAATTCCTATTTTCTTGTGTGTAATTAGTCTTTTTTTCTCCCATCTGGGTCAAACATGCCACTGACTTTTTTTGTAGCTACTGAGGACTAATCCTGGATAAATTTACGCTCGGTGGTTTTAATTGACTCTGATGCCCTGTGGTCATTTTAATCCCTTCTGGAGCCACATCTGGTGTTTCATACAATTACTGATTTACACAGTCCACATTTGGATTATAAGGGTCAGATAACCAAATGGCAGAGTAGAGTAACATGCATGAGTCACTACAAACTGTCTATATGCTTTAATAAAACCTATGTGTTGAGACGACACCTTGCTGTGAGTATTTTACATTCAAATAATCAGATTCCGAACACCTGAACATGTTTTGTTTACTAATCCAGACAAGTGCATGCAGCTCGGACACCATTACCAACTGCAGATCAATGAGTGTGTGAATTTTTATTATGTTAATTTACTTGATGAGACAGTTGCAGAAGACAAAAATCTAAGCAGAAGATAACCAAGAAATTGGGTTTTACCAAAATGAATCATTTTACTGTGGAGTTTGCACCACTACACAGTATGAAGGTGGGGTTGTTTAATCCAGCTCCTCACCTGATGTAAACAGATGTTCTCTTTTGTTAAAGACCTTTTCAGAAAATGAAAAATACTTGTAGTTTTACTTCAGTAAGTAAAATGTGTGTAAAAAGAAAAAAAAAAGTAGAAAATTGGAGTTGGATTAACTGTGTTAATCTCAGTGTTGTGATGCTGCTAAGACATGAGGCTTAAAGCGAATATTGAATAAATCTAAAACAGGATTTATTTAGAAAGAAAGAAACACATTAAAAAGAGTCCTTCTGATGTTTCAGTAAAATGAAACCTCACCTCTGTTCTACTGCGCTCTTGAGACGTTCATTCTCGGTCTTCAGCAGAGCAGCCTCCGGACCAACGTGAGAGATTTTCTCATCATCTGTCCCATTGATGCTGGACGCCTGGTTGGTTGATGGTGTCTCACGTCCGGACTCCTGATAGGGGATAGAAGGAGACGTGTGCTTCAGGGCAGGTTTTGAGAATGTTTGCAGTTCACCTGAGGCTCTCCAAAGGTCTGATGGGTTAAAATACAGAAATGTGTCTCATAAATCCTACTCTCACTTGGAAAAAAAGGGCCCTGGGCGTATTTTCAGTGGAATACTGTAAACACCCTGGACACGTCAGCAATGACAGAAGAGGGGTGAAGAAAAACTGTTGCCAGTATTTATCATGTCATATGGCCCAGCAGCTTTGTGAGTCTCAGGGCTGAGTCTGATTCCTGCCATCTGGAATCAGTGCAAGCAGAGAGCAGACCTGGCAGCAGGTGACTGAGCGGCGACTGCTGGATGTGCCTCCAATCAATACTGCCAACGAACTGACAGAATTACCGATTTGAAATAATTTGCGTAGACCTGTCAGACTTTACTATTGTTGTTTTACTTTCATTGGATTCCTTACCATCTTAATTACTGTGTCTGCCAGATAATAAGCAGCTTAGGATGAACTTCGATCTCTCATTCATGATGATTCACACTATTACATCAATGAGTTCTTCTGACATGTAATATTCAACACATGATTCATTAATATTGTACATTATTTGAATACTTCATTAAGCCAGAGGCTATTTCTAAAAACAGAATCTCTACACTTTGGTGTTTGTGAAATAAAGTGGGCTAAACAGAAATGTTTTAATTCTTCATTTTCTCTGTGGTGCTGCTAGTTTTCTTTCTGTAGATGCCAACAGTGATGGTGGAGGAAACAGATGGACAGCAGAGGTGTTGTAGTGAATCAGAATTTCAGACAGCAGAAAGATATAATTTACCTGGGAGTGATTACTCAACGTCTCCACCTTCTCTTGAGATTTGTCCCTTGCTAGCTTGGCTGCTTCTTTTACCTCTTGGAACTTCTCAGCAAACTAAAAATATGAGAGAGATGTAACAGAGCTGTGATTGTTAGTGGCAAAACAAGCTGAAATGTCATATGCAGTATAGTTCATCCATCCATCCATTATCTAGACACCGCTTAATCCTCACTAGGGTCGCAGGGGGCTGGAGTCTATCCCAGGCGACTTAGGGCGAAGGCAGGGGACACTCTGGACAGGTCACCAGTCTATCACAGGGCTACACTTAGAGACAAACAACCAAGCACATTCACATTCACACCTACGGACAATTTGGAATCACCAATTAACCTCAACATGTTTTTGGACTGTGTGGGAGGAAGCTGGAGAACCCGGAGAGAACCCAGGCTGCACGGGGAGAACATGCAAACTCCGCGCAGAAAGATCCCGGTGCCCTCACCGGGGGCCTCCTCACTGCGCCACCTTGCAGCCCCAGTATAGTTCATCTTTTAGCTAATTATCGACTGACAGTGAGGAGGTGATATCCCTAAATCCTTTGATGAGGCCTTCAATTCCTCATCTGATTTCCATTTACTCTGTTTAACAAACGTACAAATACACAAATCAGCTGTCTCTAATCTATATAAAGGCTTTTGTGACATGTGTTGCTACAGAAATGTTGCCTCTCACCTTTGACAGTTGTTGCTCCGAAGCGAAGCCCAAACCAAACACAGTGTTGGCTCTGCTGTCTGCCCACTGGCCGAACTTCTGCGACGTCTTGGTGAACGTCATGTTGGGTGTGATTGTGCTGTTGATGATCACCTGTTGGGATAACGCAACTTATTCACTTGTCCTGATAGTGGATTGTATAGATTTCCAGCATTTCTCTGGTTTATGTGACTTCTACTCAAAATGCCTGCTGCAGAGTTTTAAAAAACTCTGTGTCATGTTCAGCCAAAACATATTACAGAAGGAGTTCCAGCAGCTGTGTTCACATAATGAATAGTCCCACCAATTTAGTAAAGGACAATGCTCTATTGTAGCTCCATTCATACCAGAGTAAATCTGTAATATGCTGCCCATGCCCTTGCCCACGCTGACAAGTTTGATTACAATTGGCGAATTTATTATTTTTTCTTACAATGATTCTTTTCATAAAAACAGTCAGTCATATGCATATTTCAGAGCGTCTCTACGATACAAAGCATTTAAATCCCCCACAATGTCATACATCACAACTGTTTACACAGAAAAGACTTGCTCACAGATTGCTTATCTTCACTCTATAAAAGAGGATGTTGGATGATAACCAGTGCGTCACACAATGACAGTTTCTGCAGTGAGGGTGTCTCACAACGTAATGGGAATCAAAGAGTCTATCTTGAATCTAAAAACACTGACATGGTCTAATAATTCAAACCAGCAGCTTGTTGATATCAATGTCTATTCACAGAATTTATTATACCTCGGTCACCACATTTTACAAGAAACAAGTACGGAGTCAAAACTGTAATAAATTGCAATAAATAAATAAGACTTCTAGTCTCAGGTAAAGCAACACCACACAACAAAAAGTAATATAAAAACAAGAGAGTTAGCAAATCACAAAGGCTGCAATTTAGGATATCTGGTCCAGGGTTTAAACTGTTGTGTCAACGGTTTTACAAATTTCTGCTGTCTTCCGTGTACCATACATGCTGGTGATGTTTGGTGATTTGTCACGTAGCAACTATCCATCATCAAACTTTACTTTAAAAAAAAAAAACTGCAATCAGAATGTCTGGCAAAAAAAAATAAAATAAAAAAGTGGATATTTTAAGATGGTTGTTGCCCCAATCGTAGCACTGCAAAACTGCACACATACTTTCACAATATTGTATTACCTGAGCTATCCACTGCCTAAATCAATACATACAACATTCTCCAGTGCAAATAACATCTAGGATATATGTGTCATTAACAGAGAAGCACCACACGTCACACCTCACCATGGTCAAGTTATCCACGAGAGACCCAGGGGGTGGTTGGATGAGTTTTATTAAGAGGGATGCAGTCATAGGGTGACGTGGGTGTCCGTATTTGTATGCAAAACATTTGAACTATTTGTACCAGTCATTTTGTCCCACATAAAAATACACAAAAAAAGGCATAAATAAAAAAAGACACAAATGGAAAATAGTATGCGGTAGTGACTGCTGACCCACTAACCTCTAAGCAGTCAAATTACAGCCTCTATATTTGCCACAGTGCGCATTCACCTGTTGTAGCTATGCAGCAAATCAGATGCCAGAAAACATCTGCTGCAGTCTAAAATTGTAACTAGTGCACGAAGCAGTGACAGGAGAAACCAATAGGAGCTTAAAACACTTTTTCAGCCTGAGCAGACTTTGCTGATTTGTACTGCATCGCTGTAGACGTTGACATGTCCCACCCTGTATGAACAGCTAGATGTCATGTAAACACAAATAGCTTTGATTTACATACAAACCTAATCTCACTACCAAAATATAACAGAACTTAAAAACAGTACATGCAAATTACCCCAACAATTAAGAAACAATAGAAGACAGTTTAATCACAGTGCAGCCCTTGTTTCATAGCAACATGGCTCTGAGCACAGGATTCGAGAATTCAAATTGCTGACAGACTCGTGTCCTTTTTTTAACGCCCCCACTGTCTCCCTCTCCATCTTTTCAGTGGCTGAGGTGTTAAAACACTTTACACGGCATCATTACTGGACACACAGACCCAAAAAGAAGAGACTGAGCCAACAAAACGAGGAGCATTAGCAAGCAATCGATACCCTCTTAGACGTTTGTGTCCCATTCAACACAACGCTAATGGCTCCTGAAGACAGATCACAGCATGTGCACAGAAGAAGACCTTCATTAGCTTCATGCACTGTGCACACTGCAACCTCTGATTCAGGCTGCATTCCCACATCAAGTGTTTATAAGGAGAGTGGTGAATTTACCAAGATGCCAATAATCTGATTTTAAAATCATCACACTTTCAGAGGCTTTATCAAAACAAAGGTGACCTAATTTCCCCTGAAGAGAAACCTGGGCAAAGCCTGAACAACACTTGCACGTCTCATCTCAAGCAGCGGAGTGAATATTTAACAGAGCTCATTGTGCTGGCTCAAAGAGAAGTGTTAAGATAAGATTAAACTTTAATGATCATTGTAGAAAAACTGGGCCGTCGCTGCAGGATAAAGTGAAAAAAAGGAAAGAATTAGGTAAACAGACGGTAAATGTATGTAACGCTTAACCACTACAAGATAACCTGTTAAGAAGAAATAGACAAAAACAAAATGCATTGTTTCCATTTGAAAAACTGACATGACCCAGATTATTTTTAAAATTAAAATTGAATTTCCCTTCTGGGATAAATAAAGTATTTTTCATTTCATTCATTGATTTCATTTCATTACCCTTAAAGTTATCAGTCATCAGATGCTGTCATTCAGCCAAATTTCTTCTCTTTTTGCTACAAATCTTTTCATATCCTTCCTGTTTTATCACATTCAGATGTTCCACTTGGACTTTTACCTCTTAAAACTGATCATCCGGTGTCATTTTTCACTGATCATTTAAGTGGACGATGTAACCTGTAGCTTGCTAGAATGTATGGACACACACACAAAAAAAAAAAACTTGATTTAAGAGTAAAAAACCTGCCTGTAAACTGAGTGAAACAGGTAAAATACAAATAAATGAGCCTGTTATTTGAAGGACCTACAAGTGAAAAGGCACAAACCAAAGCTATGTAACTAAGCACATCACCTCTATTCTTGGTTTGTAATAGAAGAATAACCAACATGATCAACTTCACATCACTGAAACCACACACTACAGAACTGAACACCTGAAGCTCTTACAACTCTAAAACATTATCACTTACAATAGGGCTGGACGACAACTCAGTGTTATTGATAATTATCACTGTGTAAATATTTTTTGGTGTAATTCTTCATTTTGTAAATTGCTTAAATGAAAAACTAACAAATTAGTTACTGTCAAGTCAAGTCAAATTAATTTACAAAAAGCACATATAAAACAACAGGAGTTCAACCAAAGTGCTGTTCAATTACAATCAGCAACCCACAAGTCATGAACACATACTGAACTTTTGGTTTTACACATGAAGAGTTAAGATCCATGTAGAACTAAAACAAATCAAATCAAGTAACGTATTACTTGATAGCAATCTGACATTATTTTAATTGCTCGTTTGTTCTTTAGTTATTCTTTAGTTAGATCTTTTTAAATGCCTGTAGATGATTTGCTGCCTTCCCTAAAATGGTTTTAAGTTTTTGGTTTGATTAAAAAAAAAAAAAAATCAAGATGAAAACAGCATTTGGGGTTAAGCAATTTCCCCTAGGGGATCAATGAAGTATTTCTGATTCTGATTCTGATTTAGGAAATTGCAATATAATTAAAAAATTTTTTGGACCAAACAACAGTGGAAACTTTTCCTTTTTTTGCTATATAACACTTATCATTACCATATATTGACAAAAACCTGAATTCAAATGTATAGTCTTACACAGAACAAATCTATGGATGGTTTGTTGGTCCTGCATTATGGTAAAACACTGACGCAAACATGAGCATCAGTGGATAAACACAGACATCATCGAGGGATGTGGAATCCCAGGCAATGGTCTGTGAGTTAACATATGGGACTCCCAGGTTACCCCCCACCTTGGTGGGCAATGTGACTGTATGTTGGCGTGCATGAGTGTACGACTCAGTGAGCAGGCGAATGAGAGAGTGGGAGGGTGTGACGGAGGGAGGGGGGAGCAGAGTGACGCTGGCAGCTGTGCGGATGGTGAGCTGGGCTGCAGATCAAGTGGCACAGGAGGCGCAGAACGAAGCCCGGCAAGCTAATGGCCTGAGGGTCAGTTAGAAATTCAGCGACAGCCAGGAGGTTATAGGAGAAAGCTTCCACGGCTGATTATGTGTCTGCAGAGCGCGCAGAATCTGCAGAGTCAGTAAGCAAGATGGGAGATGTAGAACATGGGAGAGGAGTATATGGGAGGGAAAGAGCTGTGATCACTTGTCATGCTCCACATACCACAAGATTTTGTCACAGCTGAAAAAAAAAAAAAATGACACCAGCTGCACAGATTGATAGCTTTTTCAAGATAATAAAAAATGTAAAATGTTTTAGTTATCTTGATAGCCTAAACCCTAGGGTAACTCCACAATGTCACAAAGTTTAGTTTCTGTAGGATATATATTGAAATAATGGTGACAAATGGGTAGCAATGATGGTCATGATGCGCAGGAGGAACTGGCAGCGCTGTTATGAGTGAAACACAGCCAAAGAAAGACGAGATGGTCACTGTGTCCTCTCATCAAACCAGACAGCAAAATGGAAAATTGTGATTGCTCATCAGGCAGAGGTGTGATGTAGATGAAGAAATGTTTAATATTTTTGTGTGTCTGCCAACTGCTTTAATAACCTGATGCCTTTTATCTCACCATATATTAAGGACTGCAAATAAAAAACAACACACTGTTCCCAGGTGGCAATGACGCAGGTTTGGTTTCCCAAGGGAGGAGGAGGGTTAACTTATTTGTAGTCACGGATGTTACAGTGCATCAAAATCTTAAAGGGCAAACTGTTTTCTGGTAGAAAATGTTGTCCTGACAGAAAGTTGGACCAACTAATTATGCCTGTTTGACACAGGCTTCCACAATGAGATTTTAAATGTGCGTACATTGTCTTCCCCCTTGCAAAGACCTGCAGAGACCTTTATCTTCGCACCTCCAGTTTGACACTGAACAAGGAATGTATTTGCAATTTCAGTGTCACAATAGACACAGCATTACAATCTATAAGAAACACAGCTTCAAAGGCTGGAATTATGCTTCTGCCTTCCAGGGTCAGGTCTCGACAGTCGACTGATGGAGAGCAGGATTTTTCATTGGTCGGAGTTAACAAATACATGCTTCAGATGACTTTTTTTATTACTATTTGCTATCCTAGTTTGTTTTTCTGACAAAATAATCACCGATAAGCAATGTTGTTTGCAATGCAGAATTTGCTGATGCTGGAGCTTCACACTAGCTCGTATCAGGTTTGGTGTGATAGCGCCATAATCCTAATGGATAATTATTTTGGGACTTACAACAGCCCAGTGTATTCTCTCATGACAGCTGGGCATATAACAAAATACCCAATGCAGCTTGACTTTCGTGATTCACCCAAATGTACCACATACTGAAGGGCAAAGTGTACATGGCCTCGTTATTCCTCGTTGAAATAACTTTATGGCACAAAACTACAGCAACTACTTAAAGTAGTTACAATTTTATAGGTGAGCAATGTGGCAAAACACAAATAAATTGGCTGTTCACTGGAATACTGGCACGTTCATTTAACTGGTTAAAAACTGACCATCTGGCACACCTGCCAAAACATTCACTACTAAAATACTTGCAGCACTGCTACATACTTTAGGTCACTGGCAGCTCTGTACTTACGACGCTCCTTAAGCCATATGTTAAAATCATTCTTACAGAGCATCCATTAGCTTTTAAAAGTAGTGGAAAACTACTTCATCACTGCATTCGTTGGAAGAGGTTTGAGGAAGATGAGGTGACTACATGAGAAACAGAAACAATATTTCCCCTTGTAACAAATTATTACATACATTTTGTTTTTAAGACTCTTGCACTTTAAACCAGATGCCCCATCCGTGCATTGTTGGAGATAATAAACACCAAGGAGTTAGGTGTTAACTGAAAAAAATGCTGCTGCTTGTGCTGTTGCTAACAACTTCAGGTATGCAATTGAAGGTTAACAAGTTCACGTGGAGGAATCTAAATTCTTATCCTCGGTAGAAACGTGTTTTTTAGCTCATCAGCCCAGAGCACACGAGCTAAGACCTCATTTTGGACACTGGCTGTGACAGTAGGAAAAAAAAAAAAGTACTGAAAGGGAGAAAAATACAAGACAAAAAAAATGTAGAACAAAAAAATCTAAAAGAGAAAAGAGCTAAGAGTGTTTTACATGTAAGCTCAAAAAGGTATCATACATTTGGAATAATTCATAAAGTACAAGAAAACTACTGCACTGTATTGTCATTGTGCTGGTTCTATCGCTGAAGGAGAAGCACGATTCAGGATGAGCGTGAGTCAAAAGTGCTGATATGCTCCTCTACTTGCCATATCATCATCAGTGAGTTTCCCAGCCATCACGGACAGACCAATATAAGCTGACGGTCTGTCATAGTTAGTGTCTGCAGCGGCACAGAATATTCTTCCAGACAGACCTGTCTCCCTTGCAGCTAGTGTACAAACTAGAAACTAAATTTAACGTTTATTTGATATGACTCAACATTTTCTCGCTTTTGGTTACTCTGCTCATACCGACATCACTTTCACTTATTTAAATTAACCAGAAACAAGGACACAATTAAAATCTGTAGGGTTTCTAGTTAAATTAATGTAATATTTTGTAGATTCCTATCCTCATACCTCACACATAGTGGCTGTCTGCAGTGATTTTATGCCACATACTGTTCTGTTAAGGTTACAGGAGAGTGGAAAGACAGGAGGACAGAGAGGCTGACAGGAGTGGGAGAGCAGAGAGACTCCTGGCCTTGGGGATATAGAGGACATCCAAAAATATAGATGCCTATAGCCAGAAATAAAGAAGATTCCCATTATCTTTCTTACAAAGCAAACATATTTTTAAAAAGCAACTTAAGGTAGTAGATTTAGTTTATACTCTGTAATCTATTATCTGTTAATGTCATTCTTGTGGCTTCATAAGTGCTGTTTGATGACATAACAGATTAGAGTCTTGCCTCTCTAGCTGTGGGGAGAGCTCTCTTTTGAAGCTAACAGGGACTGACTCAACAATGCGTGGCTTGAAAAGAGGAATAAAGCACTAATTCTCTCCTTAAAGGGAGGATTTTACCTTAAATTGTACTTAACCTGCATAGGGCAACGCATTTATCATCAGAAGCTCTTAATGTTTGAGCCAGTTGGTCAAAAAGACAAACTTATTCATACATAGCAGGTGAACACACACAAAAATTGTTGTTTGCGTTTATTCATCACTATTCAGAGGACAGTAGAAAATGCTTGCTGTGCAAATCCCCTACATTCAGATATAACTACGCTGAGTTCCTGTGAGACCCACCCATCAGCTGCTGGGTTTGTAATCCTGACTCCACAGCCCCTTCACTGAAACAGAGAAGTGCATCTGTGAGGACACAAACAGATCCCGACAACTGTCAACCCGTTCAGCCTCTCAAGTGCCTCTGCAGGTAAACTGTGTGATTTAAGATTGTGCAAAAGGTGATTGCTTGACAGTGTCAACAGAGGGATATTGCTGTCATAACGCTCCTCCAGTTTCCACACAGTTGAAGACACCGATCGCCATGGAAACACATAATCTACTCTTTCAGTTAGCAGAGGAAGAGTGTGTAAATATGGGATACAGGCAGACTTGTGTGGTGTCTAGTATTACTTGTATGATTTAATCTCAGCATTATGCTACATAAGCAACGGAGAACGCTCATATGCATATTTACCATGTAATGCATGTTCTATGCCCAAGCAGTTCCTTCACAAGAAAAATGTCATGTCACATAAAAACTAGGAAGCTTTGACTACTCCAGTGCGGCCACTTCTTAATAGCTCTATAGCCATTTAAGTATGACTACTGTCAGACATTTGTAATGACAGTAAAGATACATATAATTGAGTACAAGAGCGACCCAGGTGTAATATGCTCTTTTTTAACCTGCTGCATCACTACAGTAATTTATACTGCAAAGCTGACCTGCTCCAGAGGAGGTTCTGTTCTGAGTTTGGGATTTAAATTAGCTGAAAGAAGCACCACCCTTTTAGCAATTCCTTTTCTGACAAGACTCTCTATGAGTGATATAGATTCTCATCTGAGGGAATACATTATATCTGCAAACCCATTGAGCCATATGTTAGTAATGCCACTGAAGAAAGCTGTGCAGTTACAGTCGTAACTGTATGTGTCATGTTGCCAGGGGAACCTACATGCATTAAGGTGATGAGAGCAGAAAATGTATAAATATGATTTTATTCTTGATCCTGATTTGCTGCCAAGACCGTTTTACATTGCTGGTGTTGCAACCAAGAGAACACAGATTAGGAAACTGATGAGTCTATTGGTATTTATCACAGAGAATAACCAATTTCTTTCAATTCTATTATAATAAATCTAAAATTATGAATGGTATAGCCATCCTATTACTTCTTATTTGCTGTGCTATTTAACAGCATAAAGCTTGTATACAGTGTAGTATTGTACTTTTGACACGATTACATTTTGTAAGATTCTAATATCAAATTTAGGCTTAAGTAGTAATTATCATCAGACTTCAGCATTACATGATTATGATACTACTGTATATCATCATCACTGTACAAATTTCTGTTGAAGTCAGCGCTAACATGATTCACTGGTTCAATCAGCCAAAAATTAATTCGATAAATCATTCAACTCATTTTATGGGGCAAAAACGCTGAGCCTACACTATTTTTGGATCCTCAGCTGTGGTCTCTGCTCTGTATAAATTGGATTGTTAGACAGACATAAGCCTTTTGAAGACAGAATCTTGTTTTCTAAAAAACTATGATGGCATTTTTCATTATCTTCTGGCATTTTTTTTTTTTACCTTGCCGCAAGTCTGAAATAATGGTTTTGAGTAAGCTGTACAAAAAATCAGTTTGCGTTTCACATGGATAAGGAATTTGATCTTAGATAATGCATGTTGCATGAAACAGTTCTTGTTTGTTAATCGTTTGCTTCAAGTATCCCATTCACCATTTACAAGAACCATAAGGGGTTTATATTACACTATAATGTAGCTGTAGGCTGCTATAGGGAATTTTAAGTGGCTATCAATGTACAGTAACTGTAAGCAGGTATAACTCTTTGAAAACACATCCAGATTAATACATTGGTGTTTCATTATATCGTCTTTTATTATTGTATTACCATGTAATATCCTGCTGGGCCTCTACACTGCTGATCAAGGGGAGCAGCAAATGTAACAATATGTTTTTCAATTGCTCAGTTCTACCTTTGAGTGCCTTTCTTCCTCCAAGTCTCCTGAGAGCAGTTAAATATTTCCCATCATCTCCTCCTGATATTGTTACACACAGACACGGAATATGCCAACACACACATACCTTGGATCCATCCACGCTGATAATGCGGTAGCTGTTGCGTGTGCTGTCGTAAAAATAGGAGACAGTGACAGCCTGCTTGCTGGCGGGGACCCAGTTCTTCTTGGTGGTTGGGTCGATTTGGAAGACATGGGCCCTGGTAGTGTAGATCGGCTGCTCCCTGAGGTGGACAGAGCAGAGGGACACTATTAGAGGGGGTGGGGGAGGATCAAGAGTAGACACAACTACAGATCAAGATAACATCCAGCGATAAACAAGCCACATCTCACAACATTTGGCCACACATACACACACACAGTTACAGTGTGAACAGAGCTCTTAATATGTGTGTATCACATATTGCCTGCAGAGACGGTGTGCTGTGTCTCCAGAGATATTGAGTCCCGGGAGCCCCAGCACACACGAGCAGGTGATAATGGAACACAAACCCTAAATCCTCATGGCAACCCAAAGCCATTAGCACATCAACACCCCCTTTCCCTCTCATAGGTGCCAGTAACATACAAGTAGGTGTCTGTGTGACACTGTGCACTTGTGAGTATGGACGTATTCGCATCTATTGTCTAATGTAAAAGTTCTCCATTGCATCAAACACATTACAGACAACTTGTGACAACACCATCAAACAAGAGGAGTCATCTTGTTAAAACCTGACTACTTTTTAACAAAGAAGTGTGTGAGATGACAAATATCTGAGAATAAGCAATGATGTGTGGGACAGTCTGCAGCATGTGGACGTTAAAATGCAGTCAGTCCCGAGGCACCCCGGTAGTTCAGCTGGATAAGACGGCGACCCACAAACAGGGGCTATAGTCTCCAATGCAGCGGTCGTGGGATCGACTCCCGACCACAACCATTTGCTGCAGGTCCCCATTTTTCTCCCCCCCTTTCCTGTCTCTCCACTGCTCTAATAATAAAGGCAACAGCCAAAAAGGAAAAAATATTGGCTTAGTATAGTCCCTGCACTATACTAAGCCAACATGTCACTCTGATCATAAAATGTTATATTCATTCATCAACACAATGCATTTGTACTTGAACAGAAACTAATTCAGTTTACACAGCTTATTTTTCATGCACTAATTAGCCACAAGACTGAAACCACTGACAGTTAAAGTAAACAATACTGATTATTATATTATATCATATATTATATTATAATGTTGTGATAACACCTGTCAAGGAGTGAGATACACAAGGCAGCAAGTGTACAGTCAGTTCTGATGTGCTGGAAGAAGGAAAAATGAGCAAGCATAAGGATCTGAGCGACTCTGACAAGTCCTACACTGGGTTGGCTTGACGACTGGGTCAGAGCATCTGCAAAACAGCAAGGCTTATTGGTTGTTCCAGTGGTTCGTGTGTCCAAGGCAGGGCAGCCAGTCAACCAACAACAGGGTCGTGCTGAGGAGCAAAGGCTTTGGTCCAGTCCCACAGAGAAGCTACTGTCCCACTTAATGACTGCAAAACTTGTTGCAGAACTTAATGAACCTGTTGAAAAGCGCTTGGCGCTTGATACAACAGGCCACCAGGATTTCAGAAGTCTTTTGGAGTCAATGCCATTTGGTGGCACAAGAGGAATTGAATATTAATTTGGTGGTTTTTAAAGTTGTGGCTGTTTGCTGTATGCGATTTGGTGTGTATTTGCCATTACTATAATCCATCTTTATATTGGAAAATACATTTGATTAAAATCATGTTATTAATTTTAACCACATCAACCAGCATCACTGGAAATAATTACTTCACACTGTTTCTCTTCTCTCTAAAAGCTATTGACTCCGATGGTATTTAGTACATTGTGTTAACATGACTTCCACCCATCATGGGAATGATGAGTAGATAAAAGCTCTGCAGAGCGTCACTCTGAGTCATCTCAGGTACCAATTTTAGACAATATTCATAAGATGACTCAAGTTGAGCTTTTGTCCTCCCGAGTTATTCTGTGCTGTGTCTGGTCATTTTATCTGATCACATTCCAGTATCTCATCCAGTGAATCCCTTATAGAATCTATTCAGACTTAACTGAAGCTGTCTTTAAATTAAAAGCAGAAAAGCCCAAAATTTAATTAGTCATCAAAACCCAACTCAGTAATGATTGTGATGGGGGGAAAAGTTCAAAATCAGGTCATCTATCTTTGAGAGGGCAAAGTAACCTTCTCCTCAGCAATGAGCAGCTCCCTGTTCCTGTGATTCTAATGAACATCAGCATGAGGGACAAGGATCAGACTGCTCTGAAACTTGAATGACTGCAGACTGAAAACACAGCTGAAGTGCTCCTCCTCTTTATGACATCCACATACGCATCTCTCTCTGTCTCTACACTGTGATTATCCTCCCTCTCCGTCACTTGTACGCACACCCATATACATAAACACCATAGGCTGACTCAGATGTCGAGAATTAAAAGCAGAAAATTCTTTTCTCGTTTTCTGTAAAGCGTCAAAACAAACACCTTGCTATCTGCATCCTGTATGTTTGTTTGGTGTAGTGTACAATTACACAGATGAGAATTTTTATAATGTATAACTTTTTGAACTGGGAAAGCCACATGTCTGAGCCAATCACAGAGGAGATCAACTATTATGTTGGTTTTGATTAATTTTTAAAGATGACAGAAAAACGTTGCTGTTTCATACTTTCAAGAATACGTCTGTTTGGGTTTCAACTTGTGGTGAAACAACCACATTTGCAGGCAGTACACTCATCATGAAACTATATAGGTACTTAACACTGAAAGAACACCTCTGCTGAAAGTGAAAAACCAGTTGGAGTTCTCTTTAATGGCAGTGCTTTACAGGGACTGGACTCAGCAGGTTCAAATTAACCACAGGAAGTTCTCATTTCAAAAGGTCAGTGCAGTTGGTTGAAATACTCTTCTAGAAAGTTTCCAAGAGTAGAGAATAATTAAGTTGAGTGGCTGGATGAGAGGGATCAAAGGACACGTGAAGAACTTAATGGATGCAGACAGAAAACATGGGGGAGACAGATAGAAGGTACTCATCATAATCGAGATCAACACGTAAAGAAAAGATGTCTTTCAGGCAGAACACAACTTACTTGTTCATTTTTCTTATATTTCCTTAGTGTCTCTCAGTTACACTGCATATTTTATTAGTTTGTCTTGTTGCTTATTGCTTGTCCAAAAGCTATGACCTATTTTTTTCCTTGAAAATATGTTTTAGATGTTTTTTCTCATCTTCCAAAGGTCATCCAAACACATCTAATGTCCCAAATGGGTACAGATGTCCCAAACAGGCACACTCAAAGGCAAGGTGAAAAGCCTGCCATCACAGAGAGGAGTGAGGAGCAAGAAATGGTGCAAATGGAGATCACACGCACACACACACACAGACCTATACACACATCGAGACACACACCAGTTTGAACAATCCTTCCTCCAAGGCATTCATAGCTTTGTACGTGTTTGTACATACAAAAAGTGACAAGTGGCAGAAGCAATTGTGTCAAGAATGAAAAAAAGAGAGCTTCAGAAAGACCTACAACCAATCATCAATTGCATGAAGTGGGTGTGTTTGTGAGATTTGTCAGTTTAGGAAAGTAAAAAAAAAAAGTTAGATTCAACCCCTCAATGCCGATGTTGTAGAGCTGTGGGGGAAGGCTGTTCAACCATCTGAAAAGCACTTTACTGAAAGCATATTGATGCCTTGAGTATTGAATCACGTTAGAAATTAGCACAGTGCAATTCATTTGAAAGTCCTTGTGAAATAGGTGCAACAGGAAGCCTGGTGGCATAATAACCACATGTACTCTCTGTTATCCATAGCTGTGTTACACACACAAGTTTTTAATAACCCTACATTTGGACTGTGACACTTCAAGTCCTCTGGTTGGAACTCCCCACGGTAAATATGTGTATTGAAATGCACCAAAGTCAAACTCTACCTAACTGACTGTAAAAATTCAGGAAAAGAACTGTTTTGGGGTCAGAAACTTGGTCACTAAAAACATCGATGACATTACCAGCACTAAAGCTTGATGATCTTGGTTATACTAGAAAGGCATGTTACAACATGCTGTTTGGAGTCATGTACAGTTTTGTTTAGTTACATTTTGTTTCCATGCCATTTCTATGAATCACTTTGTCCACTTTCGCCCATTAAGTAAGTAAAATCCCATATGCCTTAGATTAGAGGCCACTGGAACATTTGCTCCCTGATCACTCCTCTCGTTGCCAAGAAGTCTTCCAACTCGGTTACAAACATGCTCACAGGAGTGAGCTTTTCCATCCAATTTGCGACAAACATCAGTTTATGTTGTAAACCTACGATACTTTCGAGTGTTCTTTGTTTTTCGTCTCACCTCTTGGCCTGACGTGAGAATTTAAAAAAAAAAAAGTGTGCAGTACAAGGCTGCTGAGCCTCACTTTGCTTTCCATACATGCACAACAATAGCCATTACAAATATGGCATTTTTTTAAGCACAGCGATGTGCTTAGGAAAATAAACCTAAATCCCAATCATCTGAAAGCATTTTTTTTTTAAAGTCACTAGAAAAGATCCAAACAAACAGCTTTTAAAGCCAGCAGAAGCATGACATATCTCTTCCTGTATGGCTAGATGTTTCATTACAAGATTACAGATGGGGCCATTGTTGGCTAAATGAGTTGTGTGGAGAACGGTCAGTTCAGTATTACTTTAATGCACTACGATGAGGTGCCGGAGAACATAATGTCAGACAGACAGGCTGGCAGGCGGCAAATATTCATGAGCTAATAAAGCTTTTACTTCCATTGGGATTATGGTTCTCACAGAAATGAAAGCCTAATAAATTCACTGTCCCCTTTAAGCCTAATCTCAGTCTTCATCTGCTTTGGGAACAACAAAACCCATTATACAGATCACTGTTGTCGCTTTACATACACACGCAAAACGCACACACTGACCTTTGCTGTGGCAGTGTCTGGAGCCAGCTCACACTGGCAGGGGAAGACAAGTGAAAGGCCACTGCTGAACACATGGATGCACTCATACGACTGTTAGTGGAATCCAGTGATCTGCTTTTCTGAGATAAAAAGCATTAGGTTGATTGATTTTACTGGATAAAGAAAAAATAAAAAAAAGAAGAAGACAAAATTTGGGACTTTGCGGCCGCTGAATTCTTTGTCCTGCTGACTGTCGGGTGCTCTCTGTCCCCATCTGG